ACAATACAAAGTCCAAGATTAGACAACATTGTTCGTGAATATACCATAGAAATAGCAACTCATGAAGACTACTGAGTGCAGCGAGGCCACTTTCCCTTCCTCTGGGCATCAGGATTCTCCTCCATCGCCGCCTTCGCTCGCTGTGCACGCTCAAGCTTCCTCTCCCTCTCCTCCCTGTGCGAAGCAACACGCCTCCTTTCCTTCTCTTCCTTGTGCTCCTTTTCTAGAGCCTCCTCTCTATGTCTCTTCTCCATCATCTCCTTGTCCTATGCCTCCCACCGTAACAGTTTCTGCATCCACTCTTTGTCTTCTGGCTTGATCTCAGTGTCGATCCACTGCTTAAAATCACAGAGCGGTGGAGGGGTCTGCAACAAATGCAATGGTTACAAAACAAATAAATCATGCAAGACTTCATTTGACACAATAAATATTAAACAACATTAATTTTGCACTATCTTGTTAATGCGGCGCTGACGAAGTGTAGGCTCAAACGCAAAATTGGCACACATCCAATACATCTGCCTATACGTGTCCTCCTCATCGGACTTGGCTATCTTGCAAGGATCGCCGCAAAAGCACATGGGCACTGGAACACCACTAGGCAGAGGCAACGGGTCGAAGGCATTTCCGGTCATCCGGACATAACTACAATTGAACATAAATACAAAAAATAAAACATAATACAAAAAATAAAAACATAGTATAACACGATGATAAGAGATTACCTTTGCTTACTAGCTTTACCACGCCTTGACATCTTACCGTCACATAATACAAAAAATAAAAAATCACTTCAAATATTAGGTACTAACGTATCTAGGGTTGCAAAATAGACGTGATATAAACCAACTCAATGCGTAAATTTTGATAAGGGGAGAGATGATACCTTGCTCGCGAAGATGTATGGATCAAATCCAAGTATCCAAGGTCAAATGCGTCGATTCAAGAGATTGGGCGGGGGTACGGCGAGGAAGAAACCGAGAGGGGGATGAACGAATGAGAGCAGCGTCGCCAAGGGAAACTTGGTTTTGGATTTTAAATCAATGCTCGACGCCATAATACATGGCCCCGAGCTCGGTGCCAAGATCTGTGGCGCTGATCTCGGCACCAAGATTTGTGGCGCCGAGGTGCCGGCCACGTGAACGCCACCTAGGATGGCTTGCTGTGCTCGGCCAGGCACCTCGGCATCAAGATCTGTAGCGCCGAGACGTGTTACCTCGGCGCCATGATTCCTGGCGCCAACCCCCAGAGTCCAAAGATGAGTTTAAGTCTCCCAGGGGACCAAACGTAAATTTTCTTCAAAAAAGGGTCAAATTATAAAAAAATAGGTTTGGCGCCGCTAATATTGACTAAGGCAATATTTATTCCTTGCCCTTGATTATAATATATGCATCTTCATTACTATCATTATTAATATTTTTTTAATTGTTTGATTTTGAGTGTTGAAGGAACATGAATATTGATTATTAGCTGTGACTCTGTGAGTATGTTGATTGTTTTAAACAATATTAAGTAATAGAGCTGAAATATGTTCCCTAGATAATACATGTATTTAAGTAATGGAGCTAGAAATATGTTTCCCAGATTTACAAAAATTTCTTAAGAGCATCTCCTAGAGTCTTTTTAAAATTTACTCTCTAGATCACCATTTGGAGGTCATTTGAGTAAAAATCGATTTCTATATCGTTGTACTCTCCAATGATTTTTCTATATCTTATGCGTGCTCTAAAGTGCCATTCTCACTCTCCCTCTTTAGTTAGCGAGAAATCTGAAATAAAGGACGTCTATATTCATATGCTAGTTAAAGAGACTATTGTAGGGTTTTTTTATCAAAATCTCTATTCCTATAAATTAGGAAGGATATAAAGAGTCTTGGGGGGAAAATTTCATCCTAATCCTAAACTATCCATGTTATGTTAGATTGTGCAGTTAAATTCCTCTGTGCCTATTTTTCTGATTTAGGCTGCGTTCGGTTATTGTGGATTTGGCCCAGGAACTATTCTAGTTCATCAAAAGTATACAATTTAGGGCACGTTCAGTTAAGCTAAAACCTAGCTAGAAATAATTCCAATTGACAAAGCCTATTCAAATTAGAATACGAAACCAGTCTGTATTATTTCCAGGGAGCCATTCCCCTTCGACCGAACGGGCCATTAGTGAATCAACTCCACCTGGAATCGTTCCAGGCACTCCATCCACGGCAAACGAACGAGCCGTCAAGGAGTGGCATGAACCTTCATCGGTCATTATATTTGATTTCTGCATGCAGGGGGACCTCTGTCATCACTAAATACAACTGCGCATGATGAATGTGTCGCGTAACTCATGCACTTGGACGGTGGTGATACGGCCGTGGCCCCGTGGCCGTGGGTGAGGTGTACTGTATTCCTGATGAGGACCGCGCTGGTCCATGCTTGATTCACAGATACGATGGCCCCTTCATACATTTAACCGAAGCAGGTCATTAGAGCTGGCGAAGTTAATTTGCTGTAATTGCTGCAGGATAGACGACACCTGTGCTGAGAAAGCCTGAAATCGGTATCGCACATTCATTCGAAGGAGGAGTATATTTGTCCGTCGTTGTATTCTGTCTCCTCTAATTAACCTGAGCACCGCGCCCGTCGCCTAAGGTGATGGAGGATCGAGCCGTCGAGGGCCTAATACATGTATTTATCTCAAACTATATATGTTGAAGTAGATTGAAATGAAATTAAACTAAATTCTATTCCATTTCATTTCAATACACATATATGAACTGAAGTGGATACATCGTACATCAAAAGCCCGTATGAAGGTCAATTTCGAGCCGCTGCTGACCCAGTGACGACCAGACCGGCCCGATGCGATGGTGTACATGAATGAACAACACTCGCACCGGGCAAAGCCACGGCCGCCGCCAAGACCGTCGCTCATGCATGGCTCACCGTAGCTCGATCGGCGCTTGCTATCTTGCGTACGCAAGCGAGGGAGGGAGACAAGAATGGACCACTCCGCGCGACGCAAGATCTTTCTCGAATTGAAGCTGGGTCATGGCCTCAACCAGATTGATTTTACCACCAGATTTTAACACAAAGGCCCGTTCGTTCGAAGAAATTTGGAGAAATCTGGATGGTTTTGGATGAATTTGAAGAAATTTGTGAGAGGGAAACACTATTCTAGATTAAAAAAGAAACGGATCGAGCCGGGTCGAAGCGGATCAAGTCGGATAGTGGTTGGTTTGTATTGAAGATATTCTGTTCTTCCATCTTGGTTACTGAACGTACGTCCAGGGCCTTGTTTAGATCACCTCCAAATTCCAAGTTTTTTCACTCTCTTCATCACATCAAATTTTAGCTATTTGCATGGAGTATTAAATGTAGGTAAAAAAAAACTAATTACACAGTTTAGTTGAAAATCACGAGATGAATCTTTTAAGTTTAGTTAGTCCACGATTGAACAATACTTATCAAATAAGACGAAAATACTACTATTCATCGGGTTGAAATTTTTTAGCAATCTAAACATTGCCATGGGCTGGGCTGGCTGGTGGCCATGGGAACGTTCCTTCCTTGGCACATCCTGGAACCATACCCATCTTGACATGTCCAGAGGAGCTACACAAAGGTTACTGCTCTACCTGCCAACCGCACCATATTCACTGTTTCACTGTGCACTGTCTGCGTGAGTCATAATGTACCACTGAGGCCTTTAGATCTAGAGTAAAGTTATCAGTCTGTTCGGAACCGCTGGTTTATTCGTTGCTGGTTCGTGAGAAAGTATTGTTGACTAATTTATGAAAGAGAAAAATATTATTCCTGGCTGAACAGTGTCCGTGTTAGAGAGTTGGCCAGCACCAGCCAGCCAGCCGCTCCAACCGAACAGGCTCATAGGACGTCGTATCAGATGTTGTTGCACGAGGATGTCGTGTTTGATACTTAGGCCCCGTTTAGTTTCCAAATTTTTTTGCCTCCTACAGTAAAAGAACATGTTTGAGACACATGCATGGAGTACTAAATGTAGAAAAAAACTAATTGTACAGTTCTCGATAAAATCGCGAGACGAATCTTTTAAATCTAATTAGTCCATGAAAAGCCTTAAGTGCTACAGTAATCCCCCATGTGCTAATGACCGATTAATTAGTTTCCTGATGGGTTCTATAATTTATTTTTTTATTAGTATCCAAAAACCCCTCCTGACATCTTTTCGACATATCCGATGTGACATCCAAAATTTTTTACCTCCCCAACTAAACACACCCTAATAAATAAACAAATTACAGAATCCATCGATAAACCACAAGATGAATTTATTAAACCCAATTAATCTATCATTAACATATGTATTATTGTAGCACTTTATTGTCAAATTATAGACTAATTAGTTTTAAAAGATTCGTCTCGCAAATTAGTCGTAAATTATGTAATTAGTTATTTTTTAGTCTATATTTAATACTCTATGCATATGTCAAATATTTAGGGCACGTTTAGTTTGTAAAAATTTTTGAGTTTGGCTACTGTAGCACTTTCGTTTGTATTTAGTAATTAGTGTCTAATTATGGACTAATTAGGTTCGAAAGTTTCGTCTCGCGATTTCTCACCCAACTATGTAATTAGTTTTTTTCGTCTATATTTAATATTTCATGCATACGTCCAAAAATTCGATGTGATGAACAAAAACCAATTTTTTTTAAACTAAACGCGCCCTTAACGTGATAGAATGTAAAGTTTTGAGGCAGGAACTAAACTGGGCTGACCCCCAAGCATTTGGTGCTGCCGCCGCCTTATGCTATTCTGCTTTCTGATCGTCCAGACTTCAACAGCCTGTTCGTTTGGCTATGGCTTATCGTAAATGATCGTAAATTTTTAGTCGAAACAGTATTTTTTTCTCACACAACCCAGCCAGTCGTACCTATTCACGAACCAGCGACGAAACGATGCAGCCAACCGAACATGCTGCAAACCCTCTACAAAACCTCGCAGAGCCACAGACACAGCCACATAGCCAGCGACGGCGTGGTGACCATGGACATGGACATAGCTCACCGAGACTACCTCCTAGCCACGCTCCACACCTTCCTCGGCGTCGCCACCCTCCTGCTCTGCGTCCTCGCCGAGCTCTTCATCTTCGCCTTCCGGTGCCGCGCGGCGCTGTATCTCGTCCCCGTGGCAGCACTGCTTCTCTTCAACCGCTTCCGACGCCGTGCCGCCGCGGCCACGGAAGACATCGGGCTGGTGGACTTCTCGTGCCTGAAGCCGCCCCGCCGGCTGCGCCTCCCGGTGGCGGGGCTGCTGGAGCACCTGAGGCTCATCGGCTGCTTCGACGACGGGAGCGTGGAGTTCATGACCAAGGTCATCGAGGCCAGCGGCATGGGCAACGAGACCTACTTCCCGCCCTCGCTGCACTACATCCCGCCGGCGGCGACGCACGCCGACGCGATCCAGGAGGCGCGCATGCTCTTCTTCCCCACGCTCGACGACCTCTTCGCCAAGACCGGCGTCCCGCCGTCGTGCGTCGGCGCGCTCGTCGTCAACTGCAGCGGGTTCTGCCCAGCCCCGTCGCTCGCCGCCATCATCGCCAGCCGCTACCGCATGCGCGCCGACGTCAGGACCTTCAACCTCTCCGGCATGGGCTGCGCCGCGGGCGTCGTTGGCGTGGATGTCGCGCGGAGACTCCTGCTCACGCACGCCATCTCCTACGCCGTCGTCGTCAGCGCCGAGATCGTCACCGTCGGGTGGTACAGCGGCAAGGACCAGGGCAAGCTGCTCCTCAACTGCTACTTCCGCACCGGCTGCTCCGCCGCGCTAGTCACCAGCATCCGCGGCGGCGCGGCGACGGTGCCGGTCAAGTACCGGCTCGCGAGCCTGACGCGCACGAACCAGATCGCCAACGACCGGAGCTACCGCTCGGGGTACCGCGACGAGGACGACGAGGGCATCACCGGCTTCACCCTCGGCCAGGGCGTGGGCCGCATGGTGAGCGAGCTGCTGCGCGCGCACCTCGTGACGCTCAGCCTGTCCATCCTCCCGTGGCGCGAGAAGCTGCGCTACGCGCTGGCGCTGCTCCTGTCGTCCCGCTCCCGCCGGCGCCGCCTACCAGGAGGCGACAACAAGCTCGCCCGCCCCGCCGCGCCGCCGCTGCCCGACTTCCGCGAGGCCGCGGACCACTTCTGCCTCCCGTCGTCGGGCAGGCCGATGATCTGGCGCCTGGGCCAGGGGCTCGGGCTCGGCGAGCGAGAGATGGAGGCGGCGCTGATGACGTTCCACCGCTTCGGCAACCAGTCGGCGGCGTCGCTGTGGTACCAGCTCGCGTACCTCGAGGCCAAGGGTCGAGTCCGCGCCGGCGACACGGTGTGGCAGCTTGGCATCGGCAGCGGCCTCAAGGCCAACAGCCTGGTGTGGGAGCGCGTCGCCGGCCACGAAGACGAAGGGGAGCGCGAGCTGGGGCCGTGGAAGGATTGCATCCACAGGTACCCTGTGAAGGAAACGTAAGTGCAATGCGACTTGGTTGCTTGCTTCATCAGTGATCGTCCGTCAATCAACGACGTTCCATTTCCAACCGGGTCAAGTGATCGATGTTCTTGAAGAAGACAGTACTTCATGTCCGTACCGTACGTGCCAATCGAGTTTCCTCCTATGTGAAGTGAACTCGATCGTGTTTAGTCAATAAAATACTACTAGTATAAAGAATTTGCAATGGGTTGTGGTTTATGATCGATCAAGTTGTGATATATATTTTCCCCATGAAAACTACTCCCTTAGGTGTGTGCCTGCATTTACAAAGGAATCAACGCGAGGGGCGACAATTTGCATTTGCATAGCTGGGTGCCTGCATTTGTGCTTCACAGCTTGGCTCGAGCAGGGTATATATCGTACATTTTGTACAAGGAGTAGTACATTGCTACAGTAGAACTGTGTCGATGGAACCATGCTCCTGGCCTCCTGGCCTCCTGCAGCAGTAGCAGTAGCTAGTAAATGTGCGGCAGGTACGCTTGCCTAAAGTTGGTTCTTCGTTGTCCAGCATCTCAACTGATGACGACGGGGGTGAAGGAAGACAACACACGTTGTGAAGAGTTATGACTGCCTATCCTTACCAGTCGACAGCAGACGCAGTAAAAAAACTCGGCCTGCCGTGCGCAGACAGCCCCGCGGTTTTTTCCGTAGACCGTGTTTAGTTGATCGAATTTTTGAATTTGGGTTACTGTAGTATTTTCGTTTTTATTTGGCAATTAGTGTTCAATCATGGATTAATTAGGTTTAAAAAGTTCGTCTCGCGATTTCCCACCAAACTATGCAATTAGTTTTTTTTCGTCTACATTTAATGTTCTATGCATGCGTATCGGAAGATTCGATGTGATGGCTACTGTAGCACTTTTTAGAGATTTTGGGTTTGAAACTAAACGTGGCCTTAGGAAGAAGGCCTCCAGAAAACCCCAACCTAATGTCCCGCCCCTTGTACAGGACCCGTAACCCTGTGAGTGGCTCAGAATCTTTTTACTTGTGCTTTAGGATGCGGGATAGGCGAGGTTTTTTTTCTACACAAACTGCGTATTACCACGTAGCTGTGCCCATGAACAGATGCAGTAAATTGTCGTTGTACGCCACTCCATTCCACGAACAAACGCAATTCTTGCTTTATTAGAAACCAAATGTTCTCACTTTATTAGAAACTAAATGCTTTTAAGTTTGGTTAAAATTATATGAAAAATACCAACATTTATGATATAAAACTATTATATTAGATCAATTATAAAAATATTTTCATAACAAACTGATTTTAAAAACAAAAATGTGAATAATTGTCGATGCAGAAAGTGACCAACACGTAAATATTTATAGTTTTGTTGTACGTTGTGATCGGAGGTGGCCTAGCACTCAATGACACAGAGTTTATACTGGTTCAGGCAACGTGCCCTACGTCCAGTTTGAGTCGGTCGGCATACATCATCGGTGATTGGCTCACGGACATTGATTCATCTAGTGGCTCATCCGACGATGATAGTGACAACGAGAAGGTGGCTGCCATTGTTATTAACTCTTCATCATCTTTACCGTTGTCGGCTACCTTAGAACGGGGTACCCCAAGCAAACGTCAAAACAAAGCTAGAAGGTAAGCCATGGGCCCCTCACCTGCCGCGACCGAGCCCTCCTCCACCTCGCCTCGAGCCTCGAGCAGGAGGTCTCGGAACGAACTCCGCCTCGCGCAAGGCTCCCAAGGTAGGCCTCGGCGGGGGCCCGAGCCTCGGCGAGGGGCGCCGTCTCCGTCCTCGCCCGAGGCTATCCAGGGAAGGCCTCGGCGAGAGGCCTCATTCTCCGTATCGCGCGAGGCCTCATTCTCCGTGTCGCTCGAGGCCGCTCGTCCACGGTCCGTCGCCCCCGTCTCGGCCGACCCTCCCAACAACTCGTCATGTCTCATTAATGCTTCAACCACTCCCGCATCTCGGTGGGACGGTGGCTCAACGCCACAGGATGGCCGACGCGACCCGAGGTCGCATCGGTATCCTCTACCGCCGGGACGAAGCCATTGTGTCCTACCACTGTGTCCTACCACTGTGTCCACGACCAGCACCATACCGACTGGGAAAGGGTACGACGGGGATTACCGACCACTGTGTCCAAACGCTGTGCCCATGATCGGCCGCCCGCTCAAGGCCTCCTCAGACTTTGCATGCAGAGGCCTCGGCGATCTTGGGGTTCGCGCTGCCGAGACCCCCACCATCAGCGATCGGCCTCGGCATCGACCAAGCCTCGGCATCGCGCAGCACATCCGTCCACATGATGGCTTGCACGTTACGCCGCCGCATCCACTCCGAGGCATTCCGGGGCTCCCACAAGCGCCACAGGACCTGATGGGATGACCACGCCGCCCAAAGACTCAAGGATGGACCACTCCGACGGCCACGCCGCCACGAGAACAGGCTACGGGGGGCCCCGGACGCGCCTCTGTTCACACGACGCCAGTATAGTCAAGCACATGTACCGCCCAAGTCCTCCCTTCATGCTATAAAAGGAGAGGACTCAGGTTGTTTTAGGGCGGGGACACCTTGTAACACACACGCACACTCCCGCCGCCAGAGAGCAACGTCTCAAGCGGCCCAAGACGGCACCCCGCCGAGACCTAGGACCAGCTCCTTCTCTCCTTTAGCTTGTAACCCCTACTACGAGCACCTCGGTGCAAGGAATACAAGATCGATCTCTCGGGACCGGAAGTAGGGCCTCGATTGCACGAACCAAAGATAAACCTTGTGTCTCTTTGCATCACCATCCGGATCGGGAGCACGCAGAACAAATTCACTAGTTGGTTGAGGACCCCCTGGTCCGAAACACCGACAGTTGGCGCGCCAGGTAGGGGCCCTGCGTGTCGGTTTCGTCATCCCAGCAGGTTCCGGATGGCAGACCACGTACGACCATTGCGTCTCGGCACCGTGGTTTGGTTCGGGAGCCTAGAGTTCATGTCTCTAGGGCATGAGTATGACTTGGTGCTCCTCCCTCCTCGAGCCCCACCAACCAACGATGAAGTCACGCCCCGGCAGCCCAGGCGTGGGCGGTGTCCGGGCGGCCATTCTCGCCGCACTCGCCAAGCACGACATGAACAAGGCCACCCCGACGCTACACGAATCCGGGGCAACACGCCACCCCCGCCGATATCCTACGACCAGCTGTTGGCACAGGGTCCCTGGCTGGGGACCTGTCTAGCCTGAGCTTGGACAAAGGAAACTTGCCTGTGGCACGCGGCGATGCCCAGTCGTCAAGCTCCGCTCCACCACTCCCTGAAGAGCCGATTCCGGTGGGGCAGAATCTGGAGGCAACATTGTCCCCATACCCTTTTGGGTTGAGAAATGCCGCCGCCAGACGCGCTATGCTTACTCACAGTCGCTCACGAGCACCCCTCGAACGCCGCCGCGGTAACTTCGCTCGACCGAGCACCCTCTCCGACTTCTCGGACGAGGACGAGGCATGGCCCGGGTGGATTTTTCCGACTCCACAACCACAGGGCTTTGCGCCAGCTTGGTCTGAGCGACCATCGCTTCGGCTACTCTGACTCGACGACGAAAATTCCTCGACCCCACTCACGAATGTTTTCATGTCGGGGTCGGGATGCCGAGAGCGGGCGAAGAGGACGAGGGGGTAGGTAGCCGTTCCCCGCTCCGCCCCGGCGCGAGCGTCGCTACACCTCCACGCGCCGTCCTGCCGGCCGCATGAAATGAGAACGTCGCTCTTGCGCGACCTCAGCGCCCAGACCTAGAACAGCTCCGTGAGCTCCGAGGCCAAGGTCGAGCAAGACCAACTCCTTCTGCAGCAGCGGCTTGAGACTCTCTCGAGCAGAACAATGAGAGTCGCGGGCGGCGGCGGGGAGCCCGACGGAGGGCCCTCGACGTGCATCACCGCATCCATAACGACGAAGGGAGCGAGCAACCCCCAATCTTCAATCGCGCTAGCCAGAACGTCGCGGCTGCGGCGATGCTGGTTCGCGCAATGCCCGAGCCTTCTACCGCGGAGGGGCGGCGGGTCCGCGGTGAACTCCGAGACCTCCTAGAGACCGCCGCGGTTCAGCAAGCCGAGAGTTCTGCCTCCCGACGGCAATGGGGCGTCTCGAACCTACCCACGGCACCACCTCGACAGGATAGGGAAGCCTCGGCTCGTCCCGAACCTGCTCGAGCACCGATAGCTCACAGGGTCCCCATGCTCCTTGACCGCCTTGACAATCGACACGAGGGACAGGGAGACCACGAGGTAGTCGGCCGACGACGACGCCATGATGGTGAGGGGCCCGCCCGAGGCTACCATGTGCACCGAGGTAGCCGCTACGACAGCGAGGAAGACCGTAGCCCTTCTCCTGAGCCACCTGGCCCTCGAGTCTTCAGCAGAGCTATCCGTGTCGCCCAGTTCCCGGCCCATTTCCGGCAACCAGCCAACCTCGCGAAATACAGCGGTGAGACCAACCCCGAACTCTGGCTTGCCGACTACCGCCTGGCCTACCAGCTAGGTGGCGCGGACGATGACCTGCTCATCATCCGTAACCTCCCTTTGCTCTTGTCAGACTCGGCGCGAGCCTGGCTCGAGCACCTCCCTCCCTCACAGATCCACGACTGGCGCGACTTGGTTAGGGTCTTCGTTGGGAATTTTCGAGAATGCGTCGTCGTCCGGAAACTCCTGGGACCTTAAGAATTGCCGCCGAAACCAGCGAAGTCTCTCCGGAGGTTTCATCCGCCGCTTCTCCAAGCGGTGCCGAGGCTGCCCAGCGTCGACGACTTCGGAGATCGTCCAGCTTTCCTCTCGGCACCACCTGCCGGGACCTAGTCTTGGGAGCTAGGTCGAACGTGCCGCACCCCGCCACCTGCGCTCCTCGACATCGCCACCAACCGCCTCGGGCGAGGAGGTCGTCGGTGCCATCTTCCCCGACAATGACGCCAAGGGAAACCGGAGGGACGAGGCCCCGACGCCTCGGCCTCCCACCTCCCAAGAGAAAGAAAGAAAAGCGCCTAGAGAAG